TGCATTTTAAATTTTGTAAAGGCTGGGCTGCCTGCGTGCCTGGCTCCTCTTATATTTAAACTGAAGTCGCATCGTGGGTAGCTCCTGGACCTGGTGGAAGCCGGGCGTGAGCAAGCCTTCTCTTAGTCTCCCTGGCTTGTGCCAGATCTGGGACCTACTCCCCTGTGAGCCTTCCCTTATTGACTAATCATTTATTCGATGATAAAATGTATCGACTACATGATTAGTGAATTACTTGCCTCTTAACATCCTTAGTGTCTGGAATACATAGTGGAAGCCTTGAGACAGTTGCAGCCTAGGGCTGCAATTTGTAATGAGCTGTGTGTCACATGTGCCAAAAGCAATTCAGTAACTTCTGTTGTTTACTAGGCTGCCTCTTGTTGGCTGTCAAGTGAGAGGCTACAGTTCTGTGAAATCGAAGTAACAAAACTGTTTAGTGCTTGTTCAGATATTCTAAAATAAAGGTCTTGTTGAATGTTCTATGCATTTTTTTCCCTCAAACTGATCTTTCTAGGGTTTTTTAATAGAGCTAAAAAGCATCAAATTTTTTGTTAATTATATGCATTGTCGTGATTAGGATTTTCGATTTTTTTTCAGAACCTGACTGAGTGTTTCATGGACCACCTTTCTATCCATTAACAAACAAATAACATCCTTGTGGCATCTACAAAAATTGTGTATATGGAAAAATTAGAAAAAAATACACAAATGGTTTTATATTTTTCATATAACTGTTTGTCTTGAGTTCAATTTACTTCTTTCAAAATTAGGGATGTAAAATCCTGTTTGTTTAGTTAACTGGTTAAACATTAAGATTAACTAGTTAAACAGAGGTGAGTAGAGGGCTGCTCAGCCAGGCTCAAGCTCTTTAACCCTCCCTTTGGAGCAAGCATGAAAAAGCTGTACTTTTTCTTAATGGCTGGCCTTGCAGTTTAGTTACATGCATTTGGAACCTGTTGCCTTCTAGAATCAGATCACGGTCTTAAAAAGGTGATTTTTTTCATTAACAAAGCAAAGAAAACATACTTGGTGAATCATTAAGATTAAAACACACAGAATTGTTCCCAGGGATTCAGTTTGGAGAGTTAATGTCAAGGAGTAGTTGTGTGCTCAGTGCAGAGAAGTCCAACAAACCTGAAAATAATCTGATAGCATCTGACTAAAAATTTGCTGATCTGTTGTTCCAAGATTTAGTCCTTCCCAGGGCATTTATATCGGTGGGTACTCCATGCCTTGCTCTCTGGCTCAGTTTGCCTCCCAGCTCTCCTCTGGTTACAAAGATTGGACAGGAAGGTCACTGCTTCCATTCAAAAGTTCACACTCAGTCTCCGTTGGCTCTCCTGGCTTCCTGCCAACTCACTTCCTGCTTCCCTGGCACTCCTGGAGACTCTAGGACCTCCTTGCAGGCAAGACAGGACTAGGTCCAAGATTTAATTTCCGAAAGAGATTTTAGTTAACTGAATGTCCAGAAATTGATATTATCCCTCCCCCATTAATCACAGCTTACTATTTGGATAGCATAGCATCATGTGTCCTTGTTGGAAGCTTCTGTTTCCATTATTGTGGATTATTTACAATCCCTGGAAGCTTCTGTTTCCACTACTCTGGATTGTTGACAACCCCTGAAACAATCAGAATTTTCAGTTCTGTATGGATCCAACCTTAATTGCACATCCTCCTCTTATCCAGAGCCATGCTGTGGCAAGGTTTTTTACCAAAATATCAGCAGAGATTCTGCTACAGTGAGTCCATTTGGTTAAAGTTGAAAGACAAATCCTAAAACAATAGAGATATACAGGCAGTCCCCGAGTTACTCGCGGGCGGCGGGACCACCCAGACGCGCAGTGGTCCCGCCACCGCGTCCTCCGGGGCGAGAAAAGCTGCTCCGGGTGTCCCTGGTCTGCTGGGGACCCCCCAGCAGACCAGGCTTTTGTTGTGGATGCCTGGGGTAGAGCAGCTGGGGTGCTGCCGGGTTGGTCCTGGGGGGACCTACCTGGCAGCGCCCCAGCTGTTCTGTCCCAGGCTCCAGATTCAGCCGCTGTTGAAACTGATCAGTGGCTGATTCCAGGAAGCTGGGGGCAGAGCAACTCTGCCTCCAGCTTCCTGTAGTCAGCCCCTGGTCAGTTTCAGTGGCAGCAGCTGAATCTGGAGCCAGTTCCAAGTTACGTACAAATTCAACTTAAGAACAAACCTATAGTCCCTATCTTGTACGTAACCCGGGGACTGCCTGTAGTTTAAATACTTGGATGTATAATCCGTGTGCAGTATTAACATACTCATAAA